CCAGTACGTGTTGTAATTTTGTTGACGGAATTGATCTAGTGAATGGTTCCAGTTGGTTTGATGTATATCCTACTTGTGATTCAGAGTTGGGGGTGAGACCCTCGTGATTTCATGTGATTTGATGTGTTCGAACCGGGTTGTGTACCGTAGTGGAAGTTATATCAGGATGAGATCCTTGTGATTTGTTCATATACTTTAATTCTTTCCTTGTTATATTGTTTCGTAGGATAGTACTGATAGAGAGTTGTGCCTGTCGGACTTGTTTGATAGTTCTCTTATGTGTTTCTCTTTAGATGTTCAGTCATTTTTGTTTTGTGCTCCCAAAGTTTTAGCTTGTCGGGTGTGTGCCCGGTGGTGTTAGTTGTGACTTGTTGATCCGAGTGTATAGTTATGAGGTATTCGTGTTCCTCGCATCATTGTTAGTGTTGTGGAGGTTTGAAACAGAGTTCTAACAGATATGAGGCTAATTACCGGTGCTAGATTTGATTTCGGGCAACTATTATGATCAGAAATGCTATTATGGGCCTATATGGTGTGTCACATTGTGTGGTTGTACTTTGCGGGTGTAGGCATGAGTTGTTGCAGCTAGTTGAGACTGATACCAGGAGTGAATGTAAGAATTGGATCTTTTGGAGATGAGTGGAAGGTGAGAATTTTGACTCTAAGGCTTTTTGGTATTAGTGGAAGGGGTAAATTACTGTTGAGATGGTCTCATCAGGATCATGTGGATTGGGGTGACGAGGGGTCACCCGCGGGTGTATGTTGAAAGTGTGCATTTAATGATTTGATGACTTCGAGGCGAATATTGGCACGTTCGAAGACGAACGCTTATTTAAGAGGGGAAGGATGTAACGACCCGGCCGGTCGTTTTGAGAATTTAAGTTCCATTCAGCGGCGTAAGTTCTTGATCAGCTTCGTATTATGTTTATTGACTTGCGTGCGTGTTCGCGTTCAGTTACCGGATGATTCAGAGTCAAATTGGAAGAAAGTTTTTTTTTTGTTTTGGAAGCTTAAGCGGCGTGAGTTGACCGGAAATTTGACTTTTGTGTGAACGGCTCCGGAGTGAGTTTTGGATGACTTCTACAGCTTCGTATGATGATTTTGGACTTAGGCGTGCGTCCGGACTTGGATTTGGAGGTCCGTAGGGTAAATTGGAGCATTTTGGCGAAAGATGGAAAAGTTGAAGTTTGGAAGATGGGAAAGTTTGACCAATAGTTGACTTTTGTGATATCGGGGTCGGAATGCAATTCTGAGAGTTGGAACAGCTCCTCTATGTCATTTGGGACTTGTCTGCAAAATTTGGCGTCATTCCGGGTTAATTTGACAGGTTTCGGCGCAAGTTTTAGAAATTGGAAGATTTGAAAGTTCATAAGTTCGATTCATGGTGCTATTCGTAGTTTCGGCATTGTTTGATGTGATTTGAGACCTCAAGCGAGTTCGTATTAGGGTATGGAATTTATTGGTATGCTTGGACGGGGTCCCGAGGGCCCCGGGCGTGTTTCAAACGGGTTTCGGATGTTTTTCATAGTTTTGAACAGGTCTAGTTCTGGTGTTTTTGCACCTGCGACACTTTGGAGATCAGGTGCGGCTCCGCTTCTGCGATCTTTGAGGCCTGGGAGCTCGCTCGCTTCTCCGGAGGCCTGCACGCAGGTGCGAAGGCCGCTTTTGCGGTCCAGCGATCGCACCTGCGAAGAAGCTCGCTTCTGCATCCCTGTTCGCACTTCTGCGGTGCCGCTAGTGCGGCTGTAATTTCGCAGATGCGGATCTAGGCCTGGCTATCAAAGTTCGAAAATGCGGACTCTTTCTCGCAAATGCGTGTGCGCAGGTGCACTTCCTTGTCCACAAATGCGGAAGTCCTGGGCAGAATTATATAAGTCGAGGGTTTGGCCATTTTCTTCATTTTGAGTTTTAGACCTCGGTTTTGGGAGCTTCTTTGTGGGTTTTTTCAAGCAAATCGATTAGGTAAGTGTTCTTCACCTAGAATTTATTATATTCCATGATTTCATCTTTATTTTTATCATTTAATTTGTATTCTGAGTTGAGGAAAATGGCGGTTTTTGAAGAATCAAAATGAAAAATCATGATTTGAGGGACGAATTGGTATCGGAAATTGATAATATTAGTATGGTTGAACTCGTACCGGAATGGGTGCTTGGTTTTTGTGAAATTTGTCGGGTTCCGAGGTGCGGGCCCGGGGTCGACTTTTGGGCTGATTTTCAGATTTTGTTAAAGATTGAGACTTTATGATCCGAAATAGTTTCTTATGAGTTTTATTTGTGCTTTGAAGTTATTTTGGTTAGATTTTAGCCGTACTCTTTTCACTTTTAGAGTATCGGTTTGTCTTCTTTGAGGTAAGTATCTTGCCTAATCTTGTGTGGCGGATTTTCCCTTAGGATTTGAGTCTTCTATGTTGGGGATTTCTATTTACAACCCCAAAAATTTGGGGTTGTAAATTTTAAAGAGATTTCTATTTCAAATTGTTAGATGCTATTTAAATATTGTTGTTGTTTCATTTAATGTTAGGCTTACCTAGTCCCTAAGATTAGGTGCAATCATGATACCCAACAGAGAGAAATTTGGGTCGTGATAGTAATAGCAGCATTGGTATATGCTATATGGAAGGCACGAAATGAAGCATTATGGTACCAAAGAGTTCCTAATCCTGGGACAATATGTGCTCAAATTCAGTAGGAATGCAAGCTAAGGAATGATAGAATAGGCGGTAAGAAAGGAAGTAGAAGGGATAGGGAGTGGATAGAAGATCTGTATAGACAAAGGTCATAACACAAAAGAATACATAGGCCAGTTTTGCGACTATGGAAAGATTATAGGTAGCAATACCTAGCTTTCGTAGTCTGTATACATTTAAATTGTATACCTCATACAGTTGTCGTTGGAATGATTTAATAATATTTTTTTTCTTCAAAAAAAAAAAGTTTTTACCCTTTAAGCTTTTAAGACCACAAGTTTTAAAAGTCTTCTATTTTTTCTTAAACTCCGTGTCGAGTCAAACTAGCTCATCTAAATTGAAATTGAGGGAGTAAGCTTTATTTACGTTGCCCGGTCTACCCCTAACTAGTCTCGGGTAAAGGTAACAGTGGAAAAGTGAGACAAAAAAAATTTCAAAATCATATATTCATTGTTCAGTCTTCCAGATAAAATGGGAAATCCACAAAAGACCAACCTCTTCCTTCTTTTTCCACTTTTCTTGATCTTAGTTGCATTGTCATGTCAAGTTTCTTGTTTTATTAGTGATTCCCTAATACTAGACAGAATGAATAAGTTACTTTCAGATGAAACAGTTTTCAAACTTTTCCAAGAATGGAAAAAGAAGCATGGGAAAAGTTACAAAAATGTTAAAGAAGAAGAGATGAGGTTGGAGATTTTTAGAAGTAATGTGAAGTATATAATGGAAAAGAATTCAAAGAGGAAGTCAGATTCAAACCATTTGGTTGGCTTGACCAAGGAAAGTTAGGCTAAAATAAAATGGATTATCAGATTCCCGGTAACGGAACCAATTTGTTTAACCAAAAAATAGAATTTTGACTAAAGCTATAATTTAGAAGAACACGGGTCACTGATAATCGCAAGAATGTGTAAAAGAAAGTAATTTGGATAGCCAGAATATAATAGAACAAGTAAACCAAAGTATATTGAGATGATCTTTCGTATGCCTACAATTGTTTAGCCCTCTCCTTTTTTATAGTTATTTTTGAGATGTATGTCTTACCTTTGTCATAATAAGGCCATTATGGGCAATTAATGACATTGAATGTTACTTTACATAATTATTATATTCAAGACAGATTCTCTAACGTTTTTAGCATTTAAAGCTTATTAAATACTGTATTTGGACTCCCATGTGTTGTCAAATTCATTCCCTTGATTCCTCTTAATTCTTGAATTTAAATTCTTGAATAGGTACGGGCGCTGAATCCTTTGAATGTTCGCCTATGCCTCTTCCTTTGCCTTTGCTCACATCCATTGCTACTCGTGCCTCTTGGCTGGTTGAAATTCTTTGACCATTTGACCAGTCTACGTGTCACGACACGTCATCTCCATACTACTTTAATATGTAAACTCAATTTTCCCAATACAGAAGGTGGTTATGTAGTTCATCAACACAAGTACACCAAGGATCTCTGACTTAGACGACTAGGGTTTTCCGCTCAATCCAATTCTCAAATTTCTCTTTGATTTCATAGGTTAACAAAGAGTCACAACTTTGTCATTTGAAATATTACTCAATATGTTGCCAGATCTATTTTAGAGTGTTAGACTGAAATACAGTCGTTCAATTATATGATTAATATTTAGAAGGCGCATATTGCTTCGGGAGGAATCAGAATGAAAAATTGCACTTATAATATCATCTATCACAACCCAAGCAGTATATATAACTATATTTATGAATTAACTGAGTAGGACTTCTACTTTGATGATGCCACAGACTCACTTATCTGTGCTCTATCCAAGAAATTCATCATTTAGATACAAGCAAGATTCGTCAAGGAGTCGTTCTTGTAATTTTAGAAGCAAGAAAGCATCTAAAATTCCTGGCCTTTAGTACCTGGAGCCATTGGACAATCTAAGAGTCTTCTTTGGTATCAGTAGTAGATATTACTTTCAGCATCTCAACAAACTGATTCCTCTTCCACTGCAGAGGTTGATCCATCTCCCTTCTTGCTTTACTACTCCATGATGATTTGTACATGGCCATTCTTCTCTTCTTTGCTGCTACTCCTACATAGTCTCCATACTCCTTCAAAAATGAGAACAATACATGAAACCAATTAGTAGCTGGCATTCAAGATTTATTCAGGTAAATTAATGATCAAGTAGGGGCTGGTTTTTTGCCCTTTATTCTCATCCCGTGTGGTAACCTGTATCAGTTTCGGAATTTTCAAGTGCTATAATAGAAGTCATACCTTGAGGCACAGGCCTTAATTAACATCACAAATAGGATAGTCACTTGGGCAGCAATATTCTGATTTATCACATCAAACACCACTTTCATAAAGACAGCATCCCTGAATGAAGCATAATCCAAAAAACTCCAATTCACAGCAACATGTTTGACCTGCTGGACAGTAATAGTAGTCTCCACATTCACTTGGTGAAGGCGAAGATGGAGGGGGAGGTGGTGGAAGGACTGGAATCGGATAAGGAGATGGCGAAGAAGACGATTCTTTTGTTGGATAAGAAGCCATTGAGTTAATGGCACAAACTCCATATGGCAAATCAGTGTTCCTTCTTATATAGGCATACCCCTCCATTCCCCAATATGTACCCCATGAGTTCTTGATAATCCAATACTCATCATCTCCTACTGTTACTACTGCATGATCTATGTCATCTGGATTACTAGAACAATCTCCATCATAAATTCCCTGCATTAAAACATCCATGTCATGATTTCTGAAAGGGAAAAGGACAGTACTAACAAAGATAAATAGATAGAGTTACTCCTTTATATAGTTGAAAATCCAAGCTAGATCCATCTATGCCAACACTAACAGGTTGTTGAGCAACAGCACAAAGAAGGTCACTTTCCTTTTGTGCAACATCTTGGTATCCATCAATTGTTACAATCTTAGTCTTTTCCTGTTAAAGAAAAATGATAAGGACTTTCTTTCTTATAATTAAAACATATTGTTTGTGTAAGAAATGGATTCAGATTAAGAGGAAATAGAAACATTTCATGCCTTGGTGATATTGCAGGTGCCTTGAGATGCAGTATATGGATAATCAGAAGCTGAATCAATGCCACCATTGTTGATCACCCATTCAAAAGCATAGTCCATAAGTCCACCATCACAACCTGAATTGGATGAATCACAACTGACAAGTTCTTGTTCAGAAAGGTTAATAAGTTCACCAGTGGCTATTGCATTTATTCCCTCCATTGATCCACATGCCGAAAATGCCCAACAAGATCCTGCAAATGTTATGCAGATATCAGATATCAGGGGTGAAATATTGTGCATGGCTAGGTAACGACTGACATGAAAATAGTTAAAGAAAAGAATTCTTACCACAGTTCCCTTGGTTTTTAACATCAGTGACAACCCCATGTTTCCTCCAATCCAAAGCAGAAGGAGCATCACAAGAAGTCACTGAAGGTTTTCTCTCCACATTTCTCATCTGAATGGTCCTTTCCCCTTGTTCCGGGCTCGTTAATTCAGGTAGTGGTGGAACCCCCAGCGAACCATAGGAGGGAGAACCAGGTAATTTGGTTAATTCTGAGTTACAAAACTTAGTACTAACATTGCAGAAACAGCTCAAGGAGCAAAGTGACCGCATAGAGCAAATACCCGGGGTGCCACCAAGGATCAAAGGGGTAGATATGGATAAGTATTCTCAACAGCCCTGGAAGCCAAGCGCTGCTCCCCTTTCAATTCCAAAGAAGTTCAAAATGCCTGATATTCCAAAATATGATGGAATAACAGACCCACGAGATCACGTGACTGCATTTACAACAGGCGTAAAAGGCAACGATTTGGCTAAGCAAGAGATTGAATCAGTATTAGTCAAAAAATTTGGTGAAACACTCACTAAAGGAGCACTAACATGGTATTCTCTTTTACCCGAAAATTCTATAAAGTCTTTTTCTGAGCTTGCAGATTCTTTCATTAAAGCGCACTCGGGAGCTCAAAAAGTCGAAAAAAGAATGGAAGATATTTTCAAGATCAAGCAAGGGGACTCAGAATTGCTTAGGGAATTCGCGGACAGATTCCAACGTGAAAGAATGACATTACCGCGTGTACCTGACAATTGGGCAGCTATAGCCTTCACAAGCAATTTGAATGAAAAGAGTTAAGAAGCTACGAGGCGACTCAAGGAAAGCCTTCGTGAATTCTCAGCTACAACGTGGAATGACGTTTACAACCGTTATAGCACAAAACTGAGGATTGAAGAAGATATTATTTCACGACATCAAAAAGAAGAAAAGGTAAGCTCAAGACGGGCGGAAAACGAAAAAAGGTTCGGTAAAAATAGGTACGAGCCATACATGGGACCTGCGGGAAAAGACTCACGGTCAAAATAGGACAATCAAAGGTACGATCACAGATCGAGGAATAGAGAGCCAGGCTCATCATCTAGATTTGGGAATGACCGAAGCACACGTGAATCACGAGATGATGATAGAGGTCTAAAGGCAAGGTTTGGCGGTTATAACTTCAACGTGAGCACTTCTGAACTCGTGGCTGTTTTAAGAAGCATGGGAGATAAGGTACGATGGCCGAAGGAAATGAGATCAAATCCAAACAGACGAAACCCTGATCATTGGTGCGAATTCCATAACGATCATGGGCATAAAACGACAGATTGCAGGTTTTTGCAGGGTGAAGTTGATCATTTGTTAAAACAGGGGTATCTCACTGAGTTATTCAGTGAGAAAGGTAAATAAGCATACATGAAAAACAGGCAGGAACCTCCAAAACCACCTTCTCCCAAAAGAACTGTCAACGTTATAAGCGGGGGTGAAGACGTCAATGGCGTATCGTATACCGCAGCTAACAAGATTTCCAAAGTTACAATTACCCACGGGAAGCGGCTGCGGCATGTGTTAGAGGAAGAAAATATTACGTTCAATGATGCAGATGCCGAGGGTCTATTAACTCCACATAACGACGCACTGGTAATATCTTTACTTGTACATGACACTATCGTGAAACGAGTTTTAATTGATCCAAGTAGTTCCGTGAACATTATTTTGTTGCGAGTGCTACGCGAGATGCAAGCAGAGGATAGATTGGTACCAAAAGCGCATACTTTGTCAGGATTTGACAATTCCAGTGTTGTAACAAAAGGGGAAGTGATGCTTACTACATTAGCGGAAGGCGTTGTCAAAGACACAAAATTTCAAGTAGTGGAAATGGAAATGGCTTACAATATAATTCTTGGGAGGCCATGGATTCATGACATGGACGCTGTTCCATCAACCTTGCATCAAGTCATTAAATTTCCAGCGCCATGGGGAATATGTCAAATCAAGGGAGACCAACAGACATCCAGGAGCATCAACTCCGTGGCAAATTTAAGTGCGAAGGGTGAAGAGAAATAGCAATTACAGAATCTAGTTGAGGATAACATAACATCAACCTCAACTGAACAAGGGCAAACAGATGTGGATTCAAGGCCCGATTCCATTCAAGAACCAGAGGAAAATGAAAACATCAAAACGACGATAGAAGAGCTGGAGGCAGTGGTTTTGTTTATACACTGGCCAGAAAGGAAAGTGTATATAGGAGCCAATCTCAGCCCGGATATGAAACGTAAGTTGATTGATTTTTAAAAGCTAATGCAGATTGTTTTGCTTGGTCCCATTCTGATATGACAGGTATACCACCGGAGGTAATGACTCATAAGTTGAATGAAGACCCATCTCATCCACCTATCAAACAAAAGAAGAGAAAGCAGGGCACTTTCAAAAATAAGGTGATTCAGGATGAGATGCATAAATTGTTAAAAAATGGGTCTATTCGCGAGGTAAAGTATCCTGAGTGGCTAGCCAACATTGTTGTGGTATCTAAAAAGAACGGTAAATGGCGAGTCTGTGTAGACTATACAGATCTTAACAAAGCTTGTCCTAAATACTCTTTTCCATTACCTCATATAGATCAACTAATTGATGCAACTGCAGGGCATGAGTTGTTAAGTTTTTTAGATACATATTCAGGTTATAATCAGATTAAAATGGATCCGGGAGATGAAGAAAAAACTTCATTCATAACAGACAGTGGGACTTACTGTTATAAAGTAATGCCTTTTGGTCAAAAGAATGCAGGAGCAACGTATCAGAGGTTAGTTACCAAAATGTTTCAAGAGCATTTGGGAAAAACTATGGAGGTCTATATAGATGATATGCTCGTTAAAACTCAGCACTGAGGAGATCATATATCGCATCTGTCTGAAACGTTTAAAATTTTGCGGAAATTTAATATGAAGTTAAATCCCGAAAAATGTGCATTTGGTGTTGCATCAGGTAAGTTCTTAGGTTTTCTTGTTTCTAACCGTGGTATTGAGGTGAATCCTGCACAGATTAAGGCCATTGAAGAAATCCCTGATATACTTTCGAGCAAGGAAGAAGTTCAAAGATTAACAGGGAGGATTGCAGCCTTGGGAAGATTCATTTCTAAATCATCAGAGAAGTGTTTTAAATTCTTCTCAGCCCTTAAGAAGCAGGATCATTTTGAATGGGAGGAATGTCAACAAGCACTCAGGAATTTGAAAACATACTTATCAAATCCACCTTTCCTAGCAAAACCAAAGGCTGGGGAAAGACTACTCATTTACCTTGCTGTTTCAGAAGTAGCTGTAAGTGCTGTTTTGGTTTGAGAAGAACAAGGTAAACAATCCCCTATCTATTATGTTAGTAAGTCTTTGTTAGATGCGTAGACGCGGTATCCTCAATTAGAAAAGCTTGCACTTGCATTAATCATGGCATCTAGGAAATTAAGACCTTACTTTCAGTGTCATCCTATTGGTGTAGTAACTGCCTACCCTTTACGTAATATATTACATAAGCATGAGTTATGAGGTAGGTTGGCTAAGTGGGCTATAGAGTTAAGTGAATACGAAATCACGTACCAACCTAGAACTGCTATAAAATCACAAGTGTTAGCTGATTTCGTGGCTGATTTTAGCTAAGGGATGCAATTAGAAGCAGAAAAAGAATCACAGGTGCTCAATGGAACTACTCCAGGAACTTGGACTTTATTTGCTGATGGTTCATCTAACGTAAAAGGTGCATGTTTAGGGATTGTTTTCGTACCACCTACGGGTGAAACCATTCGACAAGCTATCAAATGTCATTTTGTAACTAACAATGAGGTAGAGTATGAGGCTGTGATTGCAGGTTTAGAATTGGCACGAGAACTTGGCATAAACCAAATTATAATCAAAAGCGATTCACAACTCGTGGTTAATCAAATGCTGGGAACTTATACAGCCAGGGAAACAAGGATGCAACAGTATTTAGAAAAGGTGCGGGAATTGATAAAGCAATTTCAAACCTGGAAAGTTACACAAATACCAAGGGATGAAAATCTCGAAGCAGACGCCTTAGCTAATCTCGCATCTGCGGCTGACGTAGCAAGTGGATGCAAGCGCCTCAGTTATTCATTTATTTCATTCAGTTCTTGACCCCGACAAGAATGAGGTAAATTTTAATAATTTAACTTGGGATTGGAGGAACGAAATTGTTTCTTTTTTGCAGTATGGAACCATCCCTGATGACAAAAAAAGCTCATGCGCTTCGAAAAAAGGCTGCTCGGTACTGCTTAAACCAGGGCAACCTATATCGTAAAATGTTCGGTGGTCCCTTAGCCAGATGCCTCGGACCTTCTCAAACGGAGTACGTAATGAGGGAAATACACGAGGGGCATTGTGGGAATCACGCCAGAGGAAGATCACTGGTGAGAACCTTAATTAGGGCTGGTTATTACTGGCCTAAAATGGAAGAAGAAGCAGAAAGTTTCGTGGCCAAATGTGATAAATGTCAAAGGTACGGTAATAATATGCATAGACCTGCGGAGTTATTACATCCAGTCATTGCACCGTGGCCGTTTATGAAATGGGGAACGGATATCGTGGGTCCATTACCACAAGCAAAAGGGCAGGTAAAATTTCTACTCGTACTCACTGATTATTTTACTAAATGGGTAGAAGCAGGAGCATTCAAACAGGTACGAGAAAAGGAAGTCAAAGATTTTATTTGGCGAAATATCATATGCCGATTCGATGTACCAAAGGAGATCGTATGTGATAATGGCCCTCAGTTTATAGGAACTCAAATCACGGAATTTTTTCAAAGTTGGCAGATTAAAAGGATTACATCTACACCTTATCATCCGGTGGGTAATGGGCAAGCAGAATCAACGAACAAGGTTATTATCAATAATTTAAAGAAGCGTTTAGAAGACTCAAAAGGAAATTGGCCAGAAGTGCTACCTGGTGTTTTATGGGCATATCGCACAACAACAAAAACAAGTACGGGAGAAACACCATTTTCATTGGTTTATGGAGCAGAAGCTTTAATTCCAGTTGAGATAGGAGAGCCAAGTACGAGGTTTGCACATGCAACAGAAGAGTCTAATAACGAAGAAATGCGTGTAAGCCTCGATTTACTTGAAGGAAGA